CCCTAAACCCCTAAACCCTAAACCCTAAACCCTAAACCCTTAAACCGTAAACCCCTAAACCCTAAACCCTAAACCCTAAACCCTAAACCCTAAACCCTAAACCCCAACCCTAACCCTTATATTCGGTCACTGGGGATCTTAAGAAGGGATCGAGCATTTGGGCTCCACCAGGCTATGCATCCTAGTGTCCTCCGACTGTACAAACAGGGGTTTAGGGTTTAGGAGCCTTATAGAAGGTCTACATACCTTATAGAAGCCTTATAGAAGACCCATATACCCCAAACTCCCCACCTGTAGTTGCCCTCAACTTGTGAACATTTGCAGCGACTACCCCTAACAAGGGAGACCGGGGCCCATATTATTCCTGCACTAATCCTTCGAGGTAGCTGTCACCGCAAGGAGGAACTTGCCCAAAAACCCTAAACCCTAAACCCTACAAACCCTAAACCCTAAACCCCAAACCCAAAACCTTACACCCTAAACCCAGAGGAACTTGCCCAAGGTACATCACGAAGCGCTAAAGCTTCACCTCCAAATAGAACCCCATAATCCCCTACGTAACCATCGAAGGAACTCTCAAAGGGACCCCAAACCCCAAACCTTCTAGGAACTCGTTGAAGTGAACCCTAAACCTCAAAAGAACCCTTTAAAGTCACCCTCAAACCTCAAAGGAACCCTCTACTAACATTACTAACGTGAAACCCAAAACTCAATGAACCCTTTTAAGTGAGACCCTTAAGCCCTAAGCGCGTACACGCAACCCTAAACCCAGAAAGCCCAATACCTCCTGGTCAAGGAAAATAGCTTGAATCATAATATGAAGCAACTTTTTTTGCAAACCCTAAACCGTAAACCCTAAACCCTAAGCCGTCCTTGATTGAGGGGTCTTGGGCCCTCTGCGCAGGCACCTCTACCGCCTGGAGCTGTGGGAGGCCTGTCAAGATAACTTCGAGTCCGTGGCTGTGAACGGCCTCTTTGGAGCAACTTAGGGTTTAAGGTTCAGGGTTTGGGGTTTAGCGTTCAGGGTTTGGGGTTTTGGGGTTCAGGGTTCAGGGTTTGGGGTTTAGGGTTTTGGGTTTAGGGTGTGGGGTTCAGGGTTTTTTTGAAGGGGCTCTGATGGGGTTGTCTGAGGGATTCGGTAGGGTTGATGGGTTCTAGAGGGTTCGGCTCTAGGCTGAAGGAATACCCATGCTGTTCCCTAGGGCTCCTCAAAAGAGAACAACAATACACCACAACACCCTACTGTAGGGACCTTGCGAATAGGGTTTGGGGGGTTCCTTATTATAATCATAGTATAATATACCCCCAAACTCCATTCTAATTGTTAAGGGCCCTATATTACTTTGTTTTTAGGGCTTTCTACATCGCAGTTGATCGAAGACATGGCCCCTGCTCGCTCGCGGCAGTCATGCCGCGACAGCTGAAGGGAGTCTGTAACAGCATCACACGGGGCTTTCCGAAACCCTAAACCCTAAACCCAAAACCCCAAAACCCCAAAACCCTAAACACCCTAAACCCTAAGCACAACCCTAGGGTTTAGAGCTTAGGGTTTAGGGTTTATTGGGGGAGACGAAGGTCGCATCTACGTCATCGATGGCAACACACGTCTCAAGGCGCAGTTGGGCTTCTTTGGGGGGGTGCGGCTCAAAGCGTTTAAGGTTTAGGGTTTAGGGTTTGGGGTGTGTGCCAGAGCAAGATTCAAACCTTATGACGACATGTCACCTCATGGGACCCTCATCAAAAAGGCCCCCGTGGCTTTTGGATACACTCCGCGTCGCCGCAGTTAGTATACTATGATATAAATGATAGTATGTTCTAGTTTATCATATTATAGTTTATGATATCATAGTTTATTATATAGTACATTGTAGTAGTGTCTATGAGGAGATTAGCCGGATAATGAAAGCCCGCTGTTGTCTTTTCTGGCTGCTTTCACGAACGAATCTGCTGCAAGTTTCAGCAAATCTCTGGTGACGTGAGTGACAACCTCAGAAGCAAGATTCCCGACTATAGCTGTGCTAGTCCAAGTTCAAGAAGCCATGAGCGATGGGCAAACAAGCCACACGCCCTGCAACCTCGATGAAGGCCGCACACGTGCGGCGCTGCCATCAGAGCTTGCTGACGAAGCTGGCCGCTCCTTTGCATGAGTACAGGTAGAAGCCCCCCTCCCATGCGCCACATCTTCGTGTGGTATCAGGGCCACACTCCAACATGTGTGCAGGCGATGTGACGCTTCGCAGAAGAGTTCTATAATCGACCTTGGGGGCGCGGGGTTTAAGATGTGGGGCTTAGGTTTTCAATTCGAGTTTTGGGTTTGGGGTTCAGAGTTCAGGGTTTAAGATTTAGTGCTTGAGCCGGAAGCCCGACGAGCTTTCTCCAACCGACGGGCCTACTCAGGGAGACTGGCGGCCCTCCGGCAGTCAACAGCTGTTTCTGGGCATGAATCAGAGAGCTTTGCAGCTTTTGGAGCGGATCTTGTTTTTCCAGATCTGTCAGTTGCTTGCGTGCATGATTGCGTGTACTTTTGTATGCACGTAGGTACAATATGAATAACCACGAGGCCAATGATGATGACGATGACGATGATGATGATTATGATGATCCTAAACCCGAAACCCGAAACTAATCCCTTGAGCCTAAACCCTCGACCTTGTTCCCTGAACCCTCATACTCAGGTGCGCTTAAGTAAGAGATGTTGGAGTCCCTCAAACAAGAGTAGGGACAGGCCACTTACTTGTAATGAAAACCAACCCAGAGAGCCCATACGCCTTAATTAAGGAATATACCTTAAATCACACTAGTAAGCCCCTTATGATGTAAGCTGTACTCCTTAATTCAGGGGTATTGGGGCTCTCTGGGAATTAAAACCCACCCACAGCCCCAAGGCCCAACAAATTCACATCCAGAAGCTCCAAACCCCTAAAGCCTAAAACCTTCATGCAGGGGCCTTAATAATTTGAATAGGGTTTTGGGGTATAGTATACTAGAGTTGTAATAAGGAGCTCCCGAAATAGTATTGCTATTGCTTGTGGCTAAACCGACCCTAACCCCAAAACCCTAGACCCTGAGCAATAAACCCTCAACCCTAAACCGAACCCCACATCCTGCTAAGTCCCTCCTTTCGGCTGCAGTGGATCTAGGGTTCGAAGTATGGGCCCTTAATACTGTTGATGGACAAAATTCTGCATGACCCAAATATAGTATAGTACCATAATTACCATAGTTTAGGTATATAAGGTCATGCAGGATTTTGTCCATCAACCGTATGGACCCTTCGGCCCTTCTAGGGACCCTTGAGGGCACGTTCAGGGTTTAGGGTTTGGGAGTTAGGGTTTTCTATAAGGATCCCAGGGTTAAGGGCCCTTACTAGGGGCCCATGGGTTCAACCTTATAAACCCCTAAACCCTAAAAAATAAACCCTAAACCCTAAACCCTAAAAAATAAACCCTAAACCCTAGACCCTAAACCCTAAACCCTAAACCCCTAAACCAAAGACCGCAGTGGAGGCTTGATCAGCTGTCGCCCTTGCTCAGCCGCTTCGACCAAGCGTGGACCGACTTCGAGGCGACTTTAGGGCTTCAATTGGGGTTAGGGGTTCGGGTTTGGGGTTTGGGGTTTAGGGGTTTGGGTTTGGGGTTTGGGGTTTAGGGGTTCAGGGGTTTAGGGGTTAGGGGTTTAGGGTTTGGGGGTGTAGTGGTTCAGGGGTTTGGG